TAAACTGCAACTTTAAAAACCCCCCTTCAGAGTGCGGGCACTGTACTTCCCATCTCCAGGACTCAAGCCCCGGCCCCCGGGTTTCCCTAACCCTTCATAAATGTTATTTTTCTCACACTCCAACAGCACTCAAGTATTAAAAACCATTTGTCCCCATCCCCTATCAAACACCTCACGCATCCCTCGGGAAGCCCAAAGCCCCTCGCACACAAAACCCCCTTTTAACCCCCCCCTCCAACCTTTCCTACCGACCCCTCCCCCCGCCTTCCTTCCACTACAGACTGAACACCTTAAGTCTTCTGTTTTGCTCCTTTTCTCCTACATTCCGAACCCCCCTCAACAACCCCCCTCACCCTCTGGACAACATTTTGGAAACCCGCACCTCCTCCTAATTTCCAAATACAATTTTCCCTGCATTATATTCCACACACATTCCCTCAGCTGACATCTCCCTCCCTCCCCTTCTCCTCGCTGCAACATTCATCACCCACGCTTCACACCCAATAAAGCGTTGGAAAACATACCTCATACATTCCCCCTTTGCCTCCAAGGACAAAGTTCTTTCTCCACAACCCCTAAGTGCACCACTCACCTTTTTCCCCCACAATTCTATGATTCACCTCATTTTTCATAACCCATCCCTGAAAACGTCCACCCCAAATACTGAAACTTCACCCCTCCACCCCTCTCCCCCCCAAAACTGATATCCAATCTTCTCACCTAATTTTTTTTGTTTCCCATAACCTTACTCTTTCCTGATTCACCTTTAATTTTTTCTTGCACACCCTTCCAAATTCATCCACCAACTCTGCAATTCTTTTCAAATCCCCCAAACACAGTGTCTCAGCAAAGAGCCTGGACAACCCACTTGTGTGTGTTTTTTATTTTTTTAACTCCACGCCCTTGCCAAACCCTCGCATTTACTTCTCTTACAACCCCATTATAAATATATTAAACAACCAGGGACATCACACACCCTTTGTCTAAGGCCAACTTTTACGGAAAAAAATTTTCCCTCTTCCACATACTCTAACTTGAGCCTCACTATCCTCAAAAAAAAACTCTTCCTTTCAGAACCACCTCCTACACCATACACTTGCAACATCTGCCACTTTGCCCCCCTATCCCCCTGTTACCCTTTTCCAAATCCAAAATGCCACAAAGACCCTTACCTTATTTAAATACTGTTCCTTATATTTCACTGTAAACACCTGGCCACACACCCCTACCTTTTCCCTAAACCTCCTTGTTCATCTGCTATCCTATTCTCCGTCTCCCTTTTAAATTTCTTTCAATAAACTCTACCAACACTTTACCAATATACTCAACAGACTTACCCCATTTTTTTGCACCTCTTTTATCCCCTTTGCCTTATAAAAAGGGAACTATCATGCTCTCTCCCAACCCCTGGGGACCTTACCCCTTCCATACATTATTAAAAATTTGCACCAACCACTCCAAAACATTCCCCACCTTTTTTAAACTTTTCCTAAAAAATTTTCCCCCTACCTTCCCCAATACCTCTAACCTCCTTTAATAACTCCCTCTCCATTTTTAACTGAAAAATCCATTTTTTCTCTAGCTTCCTTTAAACTTTTAATCTCATTTTCCAAAACTTTTCTTATTTTCAAAAAAATTTGTTATAACACTCACCCACTCTCTCATTTGCTCTCTTTTTTAAATTGCTTTCAAAACCCCTTTTTTTTCCCCCAAACTCTTCCCCCTTTGCTCATTTCATTTTGAAAAACTTCTCATATCTAACTTTTTTCTCCCTTACTACTCCTTTACATAAACATCCAAAATCCTCCCTTCCCCCCGCACCCACTTTCCTGAAACCCCCAAAACTTCTGCTGAACACACAACATACTTTTTTAACCTACCCTAACCTCTTCGACCCCATTACCCATCTGTCCTCCAATAGCTTTTATACTTACGCTAACTGCCTCCTCTTTTTTTTAAAAACCTTAACCTCTCCTTCCCTGATGCTTCTGTTCTTTCCTTTTATCCCACTACCTTTTTTCTCTCATTAGCCAACTAGAAAGTGATCTGATATATCTGTGGCCCCTCTATAAACAGTACATCCTGAATCTCTCAACATCTTTTATCACCAAACAAATCCAACAAACTACGTCATTCCCCCTACATCATATCTTTATACTTATTTACCTCTTTTTTTTTAAAATAGTATTACCTATAACTAAACCCCTTTTTATACAAAGTTCAATCAAAGGGCTCCCAATCATTTACCCTGGCACCCCAAACTTTTCCTACCACACCTCTCTAAAAAAATTTTTTTCCCACTTTTTCATTTAGGTCCCCTACCAAATCTCTCTCACTTGTTCAAGGCTCCAACATTCACTTAACAAACCCCAAAAAACTCTCCCCTCCTCTACATTCCCCTCTTTTCCAGGCCTTAAAAGCTATTATACCCACTTTCACATCAACCCTTTTTTTTAATCCAAATAATTCTTTAATTTACACATTCAAAATTTTCTTTTCCTTCCATAACTGATCCTCAATATTACTGCTACCCCTTCCTTGCTCTAACTCCTCAGATACCAATTTTAATCCCCTTTATTTCTCCCACCGAAACTCGTTCAAAAATAGGTGGTTTATATTTTTCCATCTACCCACGCGTAGCACAGTGAAAATTTCATTTTTGCCCTGAACAGTTGGGGAAAGGAAATTTTTCTTATTTTTTACTTTCTTAATTTTTTTTCTTTGGAATGCCTGATCTTCACTTTTATCTTTTTGGTCAAAATGGGGCTCTAAAAAAAATTAAAAAAAGGGAAGTCTAAAGAAAAAAGTAATAGGGCCATTTAAAAACTCTGGGGTTTAAAAATTCAAGTTGGACTTGTGTTTTGAGGGGGGAAGAGGGCTATAGATAGGCAGGGGAAAGCTGCAACTCTGAGGGGCTTGAAATTGTAATTCCATCCATTTTTAATAAGAAAAGCTATTAAATGGTGGTGACATATTTCCTTGTCGCCAAACCTTAGTGGGACACGGCAGATTTTTTAAAAATTTAACAAAGGAAAAAAAAAAAGATTGCTTGCAAGAAAGTAACATGGAGTTAAATGAAAATGCACATGTGTCTAATATTTAAAGAAAGACAGCCGAGCAATAGGGGGGTACTAAATATCATTCGTGGGTTTAGCTAATTATGATTTTATGGTATCACCCAAAATTGAGTACATATTGGTTTTAACCCCTTCAGGGTCCAAGGCATAAATCTGAAGTGGGCCCCCTGTCCAAGAATTTTTTAAAAAAAAAAATTTTGTTTTTTTTTTTATGAAATGGTAAGGAATCTTTTTGTGAAGGAAAAAACTAAAATAAAAATTTGAGGAAAATTGACGAAATTAAGCTCTCCCGAATTTTGATGTGTCAGCGATTTTAAAAAATCGCGATTTTTCCGACTTTGACCCCATTTTTAGGCCAATAAAATTATTCCCGTCAACCAAATTCTTACATTTTACTAGTATTACTTCTACCCCACGATTTTAGCCCAAAAACACCAAACAAAGTTTTTTAACTACAAATTTAAAAGGGTTGGAAATTGTTAATTTGGGCCCAAATTTTTCACAAAATCAAAAAATTCCAATTTCAAAATAGGGGCCCGAATAAACAATGTAGTATTTCCCGGGAAAAAACTCATTTCCTCTTTCATTATTACATTTTGAGGCTTACAAAAAAATTCCATTTTGGGTTTTTTATTCACATAATGAAAATTTTTATTTCACACCAAAAAAAAAAAAGATTTTCTGTTTGCAAACGAAAAAATTTATAAAAAAATCATCACCAAAATTTGTGAATGCATATTAGACCCCACCACGCGTGTATTAGACTTAGGCGTTTGTTTTTCTCTTGAATACGGGAAAAATTTAAAATTTCTGCTACTTTTTACTCAGTTTCAACCATTTCCATGCGAAAACCAAACAAAACATCTATATTTCTGTAATAGTCTTCCTTTTATCAAAAGGAAACCCAAAAATCCAAAAAAACTAAAAAAAATACAAAAAAACATTGCAAAGTCACTGTTTTAATCGAAAAATCATGATTTCACTTTTTTTTCTCTCATTATACACAGCGTGCTGCAGGATCTGTTTTATGTGGTGCACACATACCACATAGATGTATTCTCTCATATCTAGGCCCAAATGTACCACTCACAGTTTATCAGAGTGAGCTGAGCTCATGACGTAGATCTACGGTTTGGACCCTGAACGTAAAGCCGTAGATCTACGGGACGGACCCTCAAAGGGTTAAAAAAAAAAATGGTATTATCCCATCACTACCGAGAAAACTATGTAAGTTATAGGCCTGCCTCACTATCAAGTCTTCTTTTGACAACAAACTGGCTGTATCCCTCCGAGGCAGGGTGGCCCATAAAGAAAACGAAAGTTTCTGTTTTTAGCTTTAGTAATGTATACAGGAGAAAAGGTTATTAGCCTCTTGCTCCCAGCATTTTAGTTGCCTCTTACGACATGCATTGCTTGTGGAGGAAGAATTCTGTTCCACCTGCCCATGGAGATAGGAAATAAACAAGAACAAAAACTAGTAAGAAAATAGAAGAAAAGCAAGAGGGGTGTGTATATAAATGCTTGTACATGGATGTGTAGTGTGATCTAAGTGTAACAAGATGTACCTGAAATCTTGCATGTCTATAAGACAGAAAAAGGACATCACCAGTCCTACCATCATACAGTACTATTAGAAAAGTTTCAACACTTTGAAAGTCTGTTTAGGATGGTTGCAGTTTAGTAAACCATTATAGGATTGTAATGTCCACTGTGTTGCAAAAACAGTATTTTTTTTTTTTTTTGTATTTGGGCCACCCCTACCTTTGTTTTTTGTTTTTTTTTGTTGGTTATTTGAGGTTACAGGATTGTGCTAGATATTCAGCTGGCATATACCAGAGTATGTCAGTAATGGAGTTGTTAATTACACATAGCAGAATTATTTATCTTGTACTTCATTAAAAAATTTTTGCTTTTGGCATGCAGGTGACAGCAGTAACCTACCCAACCCCAAGGGCCTTGGCTCCCCCTGGTGCATTTAATCCTGCAGCTTCCCCTAGTAATATGGCCACTATTGCCACCAACCTACAGACTAATTTACAAAATAATATTGCCAACAACAATGGTGGGCAACAGCCACAGAAACAGCGTGTATTTACTGGCACCATTACCAAACTGTGTGCTGATTTTGGCTTTGTTGATGAAGATGTATTTTTCCAGACAAGGCAAGTATATTAATGTTGGTGATGAAAGTGAAAAAAAAAGTGTGATTGGAAATGCAGTTTGAAGTTATATTGAAGATTAACATTATGATTTGTTATTCAAAGTCATCTAAACTATATAATAAACTTACAGTATAGATGAAAGGTTTACCTTTAAAATAAGAAAAAGATATGGGTAAATATAGCATAATTTTAAACACTGGTGTTAGTTAGGGTGCATACCATAGGTAATCAAAACATACACAGGAAAAGATATTTCATGTACTTTTAGAGTGGTGTATATACTACTAGCCTAATCATTACATTTGTGAAAGTTTTCCATTGAGGCTTCAATCTACCATATTTATTAGGCTTTTCAAATATAAATATAAGGAGTAAGCAGTAACCAAATAATGGTTTGGTTAACGTGCATGTTACTCTTCAGCAGTTGTGTTAAAGGACAAGCCCCAAAAGTCGGCGATCGTGTGCTGGTGGAGGCAACATATAATCCTAATATGCCTTTTAAATGGAATGCCAACCGTGTACAAGTCATTCCTGGACCCACAGGAGCTCCGACCCCAAACCAAAGCCGCAGCAATCTACCCGTGAGGGAGATGAATAGCAGAGGAGGTTCCTATAATGCTGTTCCTCCACCTAATTTCAGTAGTGGTAGGTTAGGAGAGGATCTTTAATGTTTGACATTTTCCACTCATTCTTAATTTATTATTTTTGCCTTCACGTAGACAGTACAGTTGGAGACCTCCAAGTAGATGATGGAACTACAGAGTATACAATGCTTGCACCTCCATGTCTTGACTAATAAAATTTGTCTTCTGATGCAAGCATTGTATTATTTCTGTTTTGGGCTAAATAATAATATTCTAATTATAAATCTAACTAACTAATTTCCTGCAGAAACTCAAGCAGGAAGCTTTGGCTCTCGTGGCTGTATAGGACCCCGTGCTCGGTCACCTAGACGAGATAGACGAGAGGAGCGCACCAGGACATCAAGAGACAGAGACCGTGAGCGTAGTGAAAAAGATAAGGAAGAAAAACGGGAAAGTCGAAAAAGAAGCAGGAGTAGAGGTCGTTCTCGGTCTCCACCTCGCCGGAGGATGAGAGTTGTCCCTCGTTATAATGTTCAAGTTCCTAAAATTTTATTACATATGTGAGTTGCTTGTTTATATATTTTTCATTAGTAGTGCAGTACATCATTATTTTTGTGTACTCACTTGTATTTACTTATGTATATGGGGTTACAGGGGTGAAATCTTAGATCCTGACCCCTATCCTGCAGGGTAGGGGTCATCCCAGGTAAGGTTGGAGGAAAAAGGTAAAGGTTTGAAATGAAATGAGAATGCAGGTGACAACCAGAATAATGTACTGAGAAAGGCAATATGACACCATGTGTTTGTAATTGGCAGTTTGGAGGGATATGTTGTATATCTTTATATGTGTATGCTTCTAAACTGTTGTATTCTGAGCACCTCTGCAAAAACAGTGATAATGTGCGAGTGTGGTGAAAGTGTTGAATGACGATGAAAGTATTTTCTTTTTGGGGATTTTCTTTCTTTTTTGGGTCACCCTGCCTCGGTGGGAGACGGCTGACTTGTTGAAAAAAAAAAAAGTGTTTGTAATTTTTTTTTTTTTTTTTAACAAGTCGGCCGTCTCCCACTGAGGCAGGGTGACCCATAAAGAAAGAAAATCCCCGAAAAGAAAATACTTTCATCATTCAACTCTTTCACCTCGCTCACACATAATCACTGTTTTTGCAGAGGTGCTCACAACACAACAGCTTAGAAGCATATATGTATAAAGATTCACAACATATCCCTCTAAACTGCCAATATCCCGAACCCATCCTTTAGAGTGTAGGCATTGTACTTCCCATTTCCAGGACTCAAGTCCGGCTATATAAAAATAACTGGTTTCCCTGAATTGAAGCAAGATGCCCTCCATCGAGCAACTTTACCAACAGCTTAAGGAAGAATTGAGGTTGGCGAATTTGGAAATTCGGCGATTGACCGAGGAGAACAAGAAGATTCGTAGTAGTCCTCCTGTTTTGAGTCCTCAGGTCAAGAAGGGAAACTGGTCAGTGGCTGGACAGCAGGGAAAGAAGTTGACGATCAAGAAGACGAATGGAAAGGTAGAAACGATGAAGAAGAAAGAGACTGCCGTGGAAACTGTTGTGGAAACATCCAATACATTCTCAGTGCTACCCGACGAATGTGAGTTGACTACTGGGAACGACACGACGAAAGACATTAAGGAAGTAAGAATATTGTTGTTGTTGGGGATAGCCAAGTTAGGTATATGGATAGGGCATTCTGCTTGAAGGACAGGAGTAGGAGACAGAGAGTTTGCTTTCCTGGGGCTGGGATGGAGGATATTGTTAGCCGTCTGGATGACATCATGAGAGGTAATGGGAGCAATCCTATTATCTGTCTCAGTGCTGGAGGCAACGATGTTGGCAGACGTAGGAGTGAGGACCTGATTAGCAGGTATAGGTCAGCAATAGAAATAATTAGAAGTAAGGGTGGGAACCCTCTCATATGTGGTATTTTGCCAAGGAGGGGAGTTGGAAGTGAATGGTTGTCCAGGGCAATTGGTGTCAATAGCAGGCTGGACAAATACTGTAAGGAAAATGCGGTAACATTCATTGACAACTGGGACCTCTTCTATGGCAGAAATGACATGTATGCTAGGGATGGGGTTCACTTATCTAGGTGTGGGGTGGGAGCACTGGCAACTGCAGTGGAGGGAGCAGTTAGGACTTTAAACTAGGAATAGTTAGTGGTATGGGTTTTGGCAGGAAAACAGTGAAGTCCCAGTGTAGTAATATTACGAGTTCTAGGGGAACTAGTAATAATAAGAACGAGATAGATATTGAAAAGCCAGGGACCTTGGGTGATAAGGACGGTAATAGGTTTAGTAGAAAAATAGAAATGAGCAGGAAGGGTAAAGAGAAAGGAGAGTCTTTCAATGTTTATTATGCTAATTGCCGTAGTGCTAGGAATAAGATGGACGAGTTGAGATTAGTGCTAGTGTAGGTAACATTGATGTATTTGCCTTAACTGAGACGTGGTTTAATTCAAAAAGTCGGGACATGCCTGCGGAATGTCATATTCAGGGTTTTAAATTGTTCCAAGAAGATAGAAGTATTGGGAGGGGGGTGGGGTGGCATTGTATGTCCGAGATCGCTTGAACTGTTGCATAAAAACGGTATTAAGTCTGAAGTAACACATACAGAGTCTGTTTGGATAGAATTTTCAGAGGGGCATGAAAAACTGATTTTAGGAGTGATATACCGTCCCCCTAACTTAGATAGGGACCAAGGGAAACTACTATGGGAGGAAATTGTTAAGGCCACAAGGCACGATAATGTAGTAATTCTAGGAGACTTTAACTTTAGTCATGTTGATTGGATTTTCTTGACTGGGAATTTAGAATCGTACGACTTCTTAGAAGTATTTCAGGATTGTTTTTTGAAGCAGTTTGTGACAGAACCTACAAGGGGAAATAACCTGCTTGACTTAGTTATGGCAAACAATGAATCCCTTGTTAATAATTTAGAAATTTCAGAGGAAACTGGGTGCTAGCGACCACAAATCAATTACATTTAGCATTGAATGGAAGTACGATAGTAGCGATAACTCAGTAACAGTCCCAGATTTTCGCTTAGCAGATTACGATGGGCTAGAGAACACTTATCATCTGTTGACATGGGGTAACGAAGAGAGCTATCAATATGACAGTTTTCTGAACACTATACATGCTGCTCAAAGAGCGTTTATCCCATATAAAGAAATTAGATCAAATAGAAATACCCAAAATGGATGAATAATAGGCTCAAATATCTACTAGGGCATAAGAAAGGAATTTATAGGCGTATCAAAAGAGGTGAGGTCATCTTATGAATCAGTATATTGACATTAAGAGGGACATTAAAAAGGGGATAAGAAAAGCTAAAAGGGACTATGAAATTAAAGTTGCTAGGGATTCTAAAACTAACCCAAAAAGTTTTTTCCAGGTCTATAGAACAAAAGTTAGAGATAAGATAGGTCCCCTTAAAAATAACTATGGCACCTTACTGACAATGAGAATGAAATGTGCTTGATTTAAATAATTATTTTCTCTCAGTTTTTACACAGGAAGACACTAACAATATTCCAGTAATTAATTTTTATCAGTGGGCTAGAAGAAGATAAATTATGTAACATCACAGTCACTAGTGAGATGGTTGTGAGGCAGATAGACAGACTGAAGCAAAATAAGTCGCCGGTCCTGATAGTTTTTTCAAGGGTTCTAAGAATGCAAAATGGAACTCTGTGAACCATTAACTAATATTTTTAATTCATCTCTTCAAACAGGTGTAGTGTCTGATATGTGGAAGATGGCTAATGTAACTCCTATTTTTAAAACAGGGACAAGTCGTTACCGTCAAATTACCGCCCAATAAGCCTGACCTCAATTGTAGGCAAATTACTAGGTCAATTATAGCTGAGATTATAAGAAGCCATCTCGATAAGCATAGCTGTATTAATGATACTCAGCATGGATTCACAAGAGGCCGGTCTTGTCTAACTAATTTATTAACTTTCTTCAGTAAAGCTTTGAGGCTGTTGACCACAATAAAGAATTTGATATTATTTACTTAGATTTTAGTAAGGCTTTTGATAGAGTTCCGCACCATAGACTGTTAAAGAAAGTGGCAGCTCATGGCATTGGGGGAAAAGTGCTCTCTTGGATCGAGTCATGGCTCACTGACAGGAAGCAGAGAGTGTCCATAAATGGGGTTAAATCCGAGTGGGGATCTGTAACAAGTGGCGTTCCACAGGGATCAGTCTTGGGCCCGTTGTTGTTTTATAATATATATCAATGATCTTGATGAGGGAATTACTAGTGATATGAGCAAATTCGCCGATGACACAAAGATAGGTAGGATAATTGATTCAAACGTAGATGTTAGGGAACTTTAGGAGGATTTAAACAAACTCTATTCTTGGTCAGAAAAGTGGCAGATGCAGTTCAATGTAGATAAGTGCAAGGTTCTGAAGCTTGGGAGTGCCCATAACCCTAGTACTTATAAATTAAATGATGTAGAACTTAGCCATACAGATTGCGAAAAGGACTTGGGGGTTATGGTGAGCAGCAACCTAAACCAAGACAGCAATGCCTAAGCGTACGTAATAAAGGCAAATAGATTACTGGATTATATCAAGAAATGTAAGCAACAGAAGTCCAGAGGTCATACTGCAGCTTTATACATCATTAGTAAGGCCTCACCTTGATTATGCAGCTCAGTTCTGGTCTCCGTATTAACAAATGGACATAAATTCGTTAGAAAACATTCAGCGTAGGATGACTAAATTAATACATAGCATCAGAAATCTTCCTTATGAAGAAAGATTGAAGACTCTTAAGTTACATTCACTTGTTAGACGAAGAATGAGGGGAGACCTGATCGAAGTGTATAAGGTGGAAGATAGGTATTAATAAAGGGGATATTAATAAGGTCTTGAGGATGTCTCTCCAAGAGAGAACCCGCAGTAATGGATTTAAATTAGATAAGTTTAGATTTAGAAAGGACATAGGAAAGTATTGGTTTGGAAATAGGGTAGTTGATGAGTGGAACAGTCTACCTAGTTGGGTTATTGAGGCTAGGACTTTGGGTAGTTTCAAATCTAGGTTGGATAAGTACATGAGTGGGAAGGGTTGGATTTGAGTGGGACTTTCACATCAGAGCTTATTTCTTGGGTAGCATTGAAAATTGGGTTGGGCAAATGTTTTGTTAGTGGGATGAATTGTAAAGGACCTGCCTAGTATGGGCCAGCAGGCCTCCTGCAGTGTTCCTCCTTTCTTATGTTCTTATGAATCCCTTCACTAAATATTACCCTGCTCACACTCCAACAGATCGTCAGGTCCCAAATACCATTCGTCTCCATTCACTCCTATGGAACACGCTCACGCACGCCTGCTGGAAGTTCAACCCTCTCGCCCACAAAAACCTCCCTTACCCCTTCATTCCAACCTTTTCGAGGACGACCCCTACCCCGCCTTCCTTCCCCTACAGATTTAAATGCTCTCCATGTCATTCTACTTTGACCCATTCTCTCTAAATGACCAAACCACTTCAACAACCCCTATTCAGCCCTCTGACTAATACTT